AGACCGGCGGCCCTCCGCAGAAGCCCACGGTGGCGGCGATCCGCCAACGTCATCACGAGGCCACCCGGCGTCAGTCATCCTTTTTTCTCTGTTCATTATTTCCCGTCCCGAGATCGCTTCCGACGCGCGATGCCAGTGTAAGTGTGATGCACGTTGACTCGCGCACTGTTTCATGGGCGACGGCGTGTTCACGTATGGAAGCGTCGCGGTGATTGGCCTTCCTGACCAGGAGATGGTAGTGCGGCGGCACGCAGGGCTGTTTACGCGTGCGTATTGTAGATTTCCTTTCTCTTCTGTGCAACAGCTAGAGAGAGCATGAGAACCAATGCCCGCTCACCCGCAACGGACGACGGATCGGAGCGCCGAGAGGGCGACGTCACGTGAGCGGGCGAATTGCAAGAGACGGGTATCGGCGCCCTCGGCAGCTTCGACTACAGCTACGGAGCGCCCCTGCCCCGGGAGAACTTTCGGGCCGTGGCGACCGCTACAGAGGGACACCCGGGCGAGACGACGACCGGGGCTACGAAGTCAACGTGTCGCTGGAGGATCCGGGCGGACGAGCGACGGAGAACGCCACCGTCGCGCGAGATGTGACGGATGGTACGACGACGGCAAGTGAGCAGCATCGCCGATGAGACAGCTCGCCAGGCCGTGTGTCGCGTCGCGCTGACTTGAAACGTTGACAATCCCACCCCGTACGGCGACATTCATGATTCCGCTTCGTTGAATGGGTTCAGGACCTGAACCGACCCGAACATCTGTCCGTGGTTGAGGTCTTCCGAGTAGATCACCGACGCGCCGCCCTTCCTGGCAGCGACGACGATCAGGGCATCCCAAAACGAGAGCTGGTGCCGGTGTCCCACGTCGACGGCTTCGAGGACGGCCGCGCCGTCATTGACGACAGGGTCCCACGCCAGATAGTCGGCAACCAGGGTCCTGGCTTCTTCCTGCGGGACGGGCGGTCGAGCCTTGCGCCGAACGTTGACGTATAACTCCTGCAAGACCTGCGTGCCCCAGGATTTCCCCTGCCTTGTTCCAAGCTTCTACACGAGATTCACGTGCGCGACGTGACCCACCCAGACGCCCGTCTCCGTACGGCGTTAGACGAGCACGTTGGTATCAACGAAGGTCTTCACGATCATGCACCTCGTCGCGGCTGAGGGGGCGCTTCCCTCCCATGTCGTAGCCCTGCCGCAGACGAGCCAACGCCCGCCGCCTGGCCGCCGCGTAGGCCTCATCGCCTCGGACCAGCGTCTCCAGTTGCTCCGCGACGAGACGGCTGAGCGACGTCCCGCGTCGCGCCGCGAACACCTTGGGTCACGGGCCAGATCCGCGTCGACCTTGATCGTGATGTTCGTGCCGTTCAACGGTCTCGTCTCAGGTAATAACGTACGGCACGGGTACCGGGCAGTTGGCACGGCCGACCGTGAGCACAGTATACGTCGTGCCGCCTCCATCACGCAAACCCGGGCTCTCATGAGCCAGGCACGGGCGGGGCAGACCCGCGACAGGGTGTTCCGGTTCATTCGCGACCGGTTGCTCGCCGGCGACCCGCAGACGGTGCGCGCGGTTCAGCAGGTGTTCGGTTTCCGCACGCCGCACACGGCGCGGTATCACCTGGAGAAGCTCGTCGCCGAGAGGAGGGCGCATATTGGGCATATGCAACCGACAAACAACGCCGTCAGGCGGGATGCATCGTGAAACACGCAGAATCGCGGATGCGGAAAGCGCAGAATTCTGCGGAGCTCGAATGCAGCGGGGACTTCCACCACGGGCTGCTAGCACCCGGGTCTCGGCGGTTAGCGCGGGTCGGCGCTCAGAAAAGGTACGAAAACGAGACAGCCGGGAGCAGACAGGGGAGAACCAACGGTTGATCGTCACGGTCGTACACCACCGGTGCAGCACCCCCCCACCAGTTGTGCTGCGCGGTCATCCGGATCCCTGACACGCGTAGCGCCCCTCGCTCGTTGTCGAGAAACCGGTTGTTGCCGCGGCTTCCCAGGACGCCGCCGCCCAGATCGACGATGACGGCATGGCCGCCTCCGCCCCGGTCGTTCAGCGTGAACCCGTATCCGGAGGTCCCGATCACGTCGGTGTCCTCCACGAGCAACGTCGTGCTGCCTCCGCTGTCGGGCGCACCCTGCAGGTTCAGCGAGATGCCGCCGCCCCCCTGCCGTGGATTGCCGCCGATGATTCGGGTGTTCCTGATCACGTACGACAGCCTGGAGTTCCTTCCGGAATTCGAGAACTGAATCGGGTCGGTCACGGCGTTCTCAATCACGCTGTCGAGTATCGTCAGCGTCAGCGTGCAGCCCGTGCACCAGTTGGCCTCGTCCGGACGCGGCCGGCCGAACATGTACGCCTCGATGCCGGTATTCGACTGGTTGCCTTCCTGGTTGGTGTTGTTGAAACGGTAGTTGCGGACCAGCATGACCTGCTCGGACTGCCCCATCAGATACGGAATGATGCTGTCGGAATTGCGCTCGCCGCGACCGATATTGTCCGCCACCGAGTCGAGGATGACGGTCTCCACGCGGCTGCGATCCTGGGTGCGCACGAAATAGGCCCGCCCACCGAGATCGGAGAACTCGTTGCGCTGGAAGCGGTACCGGCCGCGACTCTCGCCAGACTGGAAGACGCGGATGGCGCCCAGGTCTTCACCGTCGGCGAAGCTGCTGTCTTCTATCCTGACGCCGTCCCGCACCCCGGTGCTCGCGTCGAGGCTGATCGCATAGACCAGCCCCCGCTCATCCTCGACATGCGCGGCGGCGTTCCCCGAGAAGGTCGTATGGTGAATGAAGGCGCCGGAATAGTCCGTCCCCGCTCCCGAGATGGCGTGGTTGCCCAGGTCGACGAAGTGGATACCGGCCACTTCGTTCCCTCGGGACAGCTCTACCATGACACCGCCCGGCAGCGGCGCGGTGTTGGTGAGGCGCACGCGGCCGGCCGGATCCGCAGACATCTCGCCGTCCGATCCGATGCCAATCAGCCGCTGCCCCGGCTTGAGCCGGATTCCGCCGTCCAGCACGCTGTCGCTGGAAAGCAGATAGATGGTGTCGCCGGCAGCGGACGCCGCCTCGACGTCCGGCAGCGAGCGGAAGGGCCGGCGGCGGCTGCCGTCGCCATCCGGGCGCGCGTCGGCAGAGACGTAGTAGACCGCGCCTCCGATCTGATCTGACGGCTGGCCCTGGAAACTGGCCGGGCGCGAGAGAAACATGCACGACACGAGCACGCAGCACACCGTCGTGGACGAGAGCGACCGCGTCATGGCTGTGCCTCCTGGCGATGTTGGCGTCGAGGCGGTGATCCTACGTAGACCGCCGCCGAGAAGCAAGGCGAGCCGGCGGGTGGTCCCATCCTCCTCGTCATGAGCGAGCCGGCCGTTGGGCTCCGACACGTGCCGAACGAATCGCGGCGCTACGCAGGCAACGGTACGGCAACGTCTGGTCGATGCTGGCGGGCGACCACGAGCTGTGCTATGTGTATCTGCCAACGGCGCCGTCACAACGACTACTGCGGCGCCACCGACGGGGCGACCATCTGTTCTCGGAATCGATCATCGCGGTCGACATCGGCGGGGGTCTGCGCCTGGCGGCATTCGCGTTGGTGGAACGATCGACTCGATGCCGTTTGAGCGGCCGGCTGTGACGACCAGGAGAGGTTGTGCGCAGCAGGGACCGTCGGGCACGCCACCCGGGAACTTCATGACGAGGGCCTCGAGTCCCGCTGAAAGGTAGAGACATGCGACGTCTGGCACTACCGCCGCTCACTGCCCTCGCGCTCGGGCTGGTCGTCTGGACCGCCAACATCAACGCGCTGCAGGAGCCGCACCCGCCGATCGAGGTGCACCGGATCACCGACAAGCTGCACATGCTCGGGTCGGGATCGACGACCGGCGGCAACATCGCCCTGTTCATCGCCGAGCGCGGCGTGGTGCTGGTGGATACCAAGAACGAAGGCTACGGCCCGGACATCCTCGAACACGTGCAACGGCTCACCGACAAGCCGGTGACGACCATCATCAACTCGCACGTCCACACGACCACAGCGGCGCCAACACCGAGTTTCCCGCAACCGTGCACTTCGTGGCGCACGAGAACATCAGACGCCACATGGCGCGCACCGACTGTCAGCCGATACCGACCAACTGCGACGATTTCCAGGGCGAGAACGCGAAGTACCTGCCGTCGACCACCTTCTCGGACCGGTGACGCTGTTCGCCGGTGGCCCCGACCAGATCGATCTCTATTATTTCGGTCGCGGCCATACCGACGGCGACACCTTCATCGTGTTCAAGGCGGCGCGGACCATGCACACCGGCGACATGTTCCTGGGCAAGCTGCTTCCGTTCATCGACGCCGAGAACGGCAACGGCGGCAGCGCCATCGAGTTCGGGAGGACCCTGACCCGGCTCATCAGCACCGTGCAGGATGTCGATACCATCATCACCGGCCACTGGGATACCCCGCTCGCCTGGAGCGACCTGGTGGACTACCGGGCGTTCTACATGGATCTGTACGACCAGACCCGTCGGGGCATCGACGCGGGGCTCAGCGCCGACGAGATGATTGCCGCGTACACCAAGCCGGCGCGGTTCAGCGACTACACGGCGGCCCCACAGGGCACGTTCAGCGTGGCGGCCATCGTGAACTACATCTACGAAGGACGCTGAACGGATGACGATGGGCGACGAACGAGCCGGAACGGGTAGGCGGGTACGCCGATGACAGCGGGCATGCGGGGCAAGGTCTGTCTGGTCACGGGCGCCAATGCAGGTATCGGGAAGGCGGCCGCGCTCGGTCTTGCGCGGCAGGGCGCAACGGTCGTGCTGCTGTGCCGCAGCGAGCCCCGCGGTCACGAGGCGTTGGAGGAAATCGAACGGCGCTCCGGGAACGGCTCCCTCGCGCTGCTCGTCGCAGATCTCGCGTCCCGGCGGCGGGTCCGCGCAGCGGCGGATGAATACCTGCAACGGTTCGAGCGCCTTGACGTGCTCGTGAACAATGCGGGTGTGCTCGCGGGACAGCGAGCGTCAAGTGAACGAGGACGGGCTGGAAGTGACGTTTGCGGTGAATCACCTGGCGCCGTTTCTGCTCACCAATCTGCTGCTCGATCGCCTCAAGGCCTGCGCCCCGGCGCGCATCGTCACGGTCGCATCCAGCGCGCACCGGCGAACCCCGCTCGACTTCGACAATCTGCAGCACGAGCGCGACTATTCTCCCTGGGGTGCCTACTGCCGGTCGAAACTGGCGAATGTGTACTTCACCTATGAGCTGGCGCGCCGCCTCGAGGGAACCGGAGTGACGGCCAATTGTCTGCACCCGGGGTTGGTCTCCACCCATTTGTTCCGCGACCTGACCGGGTGGCTGCGCGCGGCGCTCTGGCTTGCTGGCCCGATGCTGTTGAATCCGGACCGAGGCGCCGATACCACGGTCTATCTCGCCGGCGCGCCCGAGGCGGCGGACGTGACGGGGCAGTATTTCGAGAAGCGGAAACCGGTTCGGTCGTCGCCCGTCTCCTACGAGACGGACGCGGCGCGCCGGCTCTGGGAGGTCAGCGCAGCGTTGACGGTTTCAGGCGAACCTAGCCCAAGTTTACCGGTCAAAAACATAAACTATTGCAAGTAAGCAGCTTACGCCGACAGAAATACTCGAGTGGCACTACAAACCTGCGCAAACCGGTGAGCTGGGTTGGTCAGATGAGCGTTTTGCGGACGCCCCCGGGGTGCGGGTCGACGCCGAGCGCGTCGTAGATGTCCCGCTGCTCGGGTTCGGGTTGCGTGGCCGTTCGCACGTGCAGCGTGCGTCCGTCGGGGCGCCGGAAGGTGGCGGTGACGCGCTGCTGGCCGTCCAGGATGCGGCGCAACGTGGTCCAACTGGCGGGGTTGCCGTGCCCGCGCAGTCGGGTGCGGATGACCTGTACGAGTTGGTAGGCGATGACGGTGATGAACAGGTGGCCGTCGGCCCGCCGCGGCTTGTGGTGGTAGATGGGGCGCAGGCCGAGTTCGGCCTTGAGCGAGCGGAAGACGGCCTCCACGTCGGTGAGGGTGGTGTAGGTGCGCCACAGGGCGTCTTCGTCCCAGTCGGTCTCGCTGCTGCGCAGGCAGTAGACCCCCGGATGGGTGGCCATCGAGCCGTCCCGGGGACGGCGGGTCCAGGTGACGGCGACCGCCTTTTCGCCGGTCTCGTCGGCGGTGACCCCGATCTGGTAGTGGGCGGCGACGCGGGAATGCTTCGTCTTCAATCGCCCGATGCGCTGCCACACCTGGTCGAGCCGTTTGTGGGTGCGGGGGCGCGCCAGCCCCTCGTGGAGCTGGGTCAGGGCGGTCTCGAAGCGGGTGGCGAAACGCTCGACGATGCCTCGTTCCTTCTCGGCCCGCTCCTCGGAGTAGCAGTACAGGCGCACCTCGTCGGGGTCGGTCGAGACCACCTTGTGCAGGTGCACGGTCTGGTTGGACTGGGTTTGGAGCGATACGGCGGCCTCGGCGTCGAACTGACGGTGCGGTTCGCGGCTGACGACCAGATAGCGGTAGTCGTGCTCACGCAACCACTGCACGCAGGCCTCGGTGGCGACGCCGCGGTCCATGACCACGAGGGCGCCGGGTGGCGCCTCCAGCGCCTCGAGCATGTCGGCCAGCGTGCGCTGTTCGCGGACGTTGCCGGCGAAGACCTTGGAGCGGCGCACGAAGCCGCTGGCGTCGAGCATCAGGCCCAGGGTCAGCAGCGGACAGTCGCTGCGCTTCTCCTTCGAGTGCCCGCGCTTTGCCTGGGGTTGCTCGCTCGCCTCGCCCTCGAAGTAGGTGTTGGTCAGGTCGTAGAGGGTCACCGTCGGCTGGCGGTCGAACAGCCCCATCGCGCGGTCGAACAGATGCGCCTCGATCGCCTCGCGATGCTTCACCAGCGCGTCCGAGGCGCGGTAGAGCTGCATCGCGCCGACGGTCTCGAAGTCGACGCCGAGCAACTCGCCGAGGCCGCTGCGCGCTTGCAGCCAGCGGTGCGTCGCGCGCTCCGAGGCGGGCTGGGCGAGACGCCCGACAATGACGCCGGCCGCCGCCGCGCGCAGGGCGCCGTTGACGCCCAACTCGGCGAGCAGGGCCGGCAGGCCCAATTGCTCCAGCGCCCACAGGCCGAGTTGCTCGACCCCGACGCTGCGGGGAAGGAACGCAGGACGCCGCGGTCGACATCCGACACGTGGCACGTCGGTGGTCATGGCGGCCGTCCAGTCCCCAGGTGCGCCGCGAGAGAGCATTGAGCGGCGAGCGCGGAGCTTCGTGGCTCGGACGGCGGGGGGCCATGGCGATCAGGGGCCTGGCGTCGGTCAAGAGTCGTCGATTGCGAACGCACAACGGCGGCCATTGGGCCTGGGGCCCTGGTGGGATGTGAAAGTGGCGCCCGAGATGAGGCAGGGTGCGCTGCCGGACGGTGTTTCCGCCGCGCCGGATTGCACCAGGCGATGGGAGAAAGAGAAGAAGAGGGGACGAGAAGAATTTCCCTCTTGCTGTCTTCCTATGCAGAGACTCCCTACCGTAGGCAGAGAATGAGGTATACCCTAGAAGTATACCAGGTAAGGGACGCCAATTACACAAGGCTGGAGATCTCAAATTAGGGAATCTACGCACACGCCAGACTACCAATATAAGGGGAGAAAAGCACCCACCCAGGGAGAACTAGAAGCATGGAATAGAAGAGAGGATCTTTGAGAGGAAGGAAGGAGCTAAGCACCACGCCTTCAAAGAAGCTTCACTTATCGTAGCAGGACGGAAAGGACAAAGTTCATAGCACTAGATCCAAGCGCACGCAACCGGAATTTACCACCAGGAGAAGTTACACTTCCAGGCCACAAGGTCCCCAGTCCAGTGTGGAACTGCAAAGGACATCTAATGCCAAAGGCAACAACCACACGCCACCGCCTTGAGCAAACTCTAGATAGATCGTCTAGCGGACATGGAAGAAAGTACTCAAACCTATGCGACCCTCCAAAACAGTACAGATCACAATGAACGAAGCGGAGCAATACGTTTAGAGCCACCTGGACCCAACACTCTGCTTAGAATGGGGGGACCAAGGGGGTAACAACCCGCTTAGGTAGCACCCTAATACACCCGACTTTGCGCATCCCTTTCTGACCCTCTTCCCCCCCCCTGTCCTAGCCCGCCATCTGCCAACAGTTTGCGGACTAACCTTTTAAGCCCTCCCCCCACTCTTTCTCCGTCCATTTCCACGCCCATTTTTTCACTCCCCTCCCCACAGTCCAGCCCAGACATCTCCCGGGACGTAGAACCAGCGACTCTAAATAACCTGGCACCATCAAGAGAGTGAAACCAAGCTGGGACTAACATTCGACAGTCGCTCTAATGAATTACGACCATAGCACGCGAAACGACCCCACTCCTCACAATAGTTGGAACCATGTAAAGCTAAGTGAAAGAGTGATTGTTTGTGAACGAAAGAAGACAGAGGATCAGACAATGGCAGAACCCGGAAGGTGGTGAAGGACTCACTGCACTCTTTTTTCCATCTTTTAAAAAGAAGAAGAATGAAGGAGATTCAGATTACCAGAGAACAGGATTCCCAAAGACCTCCAGATCTACCAGGCGACCACGTCTAGCACAGAACTTAGGAACTGACAGAACCAAAGTGGGTGAAATGAATGATAGCCCCTCCTGCTTAGGACCGAAGAGATAGAATCCAGGGAAAGGATCACAAAGATAGGTACAGTTATAGGAACACCAGGGAAACTCGTCACCAACTTCAGAAGGAAACCGACAAAGGTGCAGACCTAGCGACTAAGGAAGCAGGTGACGTAGGACTAAACGAAGGCGACACGATGACAGCGACCAGGGGGAAGGAGTAAGAAAGGAAGAGAATGGAAGAACCAGGTAGAGGAAAGAACAGGATAAAGGAAAGGGAAAGGCGGGGAAAAGAAGCAGAAGACAAAAGAAGGAACAGACAAGAAAGAGGAGAAAGCAAAGGAAGAGGGTTTTCCGTTCTGGGTCCGCCGGGTTTGTGGTGCGTCGAATGAAACACGCTGCCCCGATAGCGGGCGCGGCGGCCGGAAGTCAAACCCATTCTATACGATATGGCACTACATCAGCACACCGTCAAACACAGTTCCTTTAGAATCAACAAACTACAGACATGTCAATCAGAATACAGCCAAAATCTGCAAAATGGCCGGTCAAAACTCGGTAAATTGGGTAGCAGCCCGTTGGTGGAAGTACACGCTGGATCGGGGGTGAGAGAGCGCCCCCCGGGGGCTGAGGAGTCGCGCAGAGGGTTGGCGTTTTCGACGTCCGTCAGGCGCGGAATCACTCGAACGAGTCTTCGTCAATCGAGTGTAATGACGCCGACAGTCCCCTCGATGTCGATGGTCGTGCCGAACTCCCGTGACAGGCGCTGCATCCGCTCGAGAATCTCTCGTGCCTTGTCCGGTTGCGCAATGCGAGGAATGCCGAGCCTGGAGTCCGGTCCATCTGCGCCCAACTCGGTAGGGTATAACCGCACCTCGGTCAGTTCGCCGTCTGCGTAGCGGCTGACTGCCACCAGGCTCTCCAGCGATTGAGTCGACCCTCCGAAATTCCTCGCGAAATTCTGTCGTGGCGATGGTTGATTTGCGTCCGTTTGTCCCAACTGCTCGGGGAGGTTCCACTGCGCCTCGCGGAAGAACTCACCGAGGCCGTAGAAAATCGGCTTGCCCTTGTAGATTTCGACCCCGCGCAGCAACTGCACGCCGTGACCGACGAAGGCATCGGCGCCGACGTCGATGGCCTGGTGGGCCAGGTCCTTGTAGAACTCCGGCGGCCTGGTGCTGAGATGCATCTGCTCGAGGACCGATTGGCCCTGGTGGATATGCGCCGTTGCGACCACGAAATCGGCGTACCGCTTGGCATTGCGGATGCTTCTCAGGGTGCGCGAGAGATCGTTCGGATTGATGGTGTAGTCGATGGTGCCAGGTGTCTCGCCGGGTCGTGCGGCACGATATACGTGCGATCATTCCTGCCGGAAGACAATGGACGGCAGGAAGGAAACGCACTCTGTCAGACGGCTCGTTGTTCGGCAAGGGCCGTGGATTGTCGTAGTTCGACCTGAACTCCAGAAACTGGTCACGCACCTGTTTCAGTGACGCCAACTGTTCTTCCGAGACGACGAGGGTCTCGGAATAGTTGAGCATGTTCACGCACCGCACACGCACGCCCAGGGTGACTACATGACCGGACAACCCGCGTCGCCGCCAGGCGCCGCAACTCCCGCCAGAGCGGTGCATGCATACCCACCATGGCTACCCGACCCTGTGGCAATTCCAGGTATGCCGGCGCCGCCGCTTCATCCAGGTTCCTGCCGGTTCCGGCATGGACGATGCCGGCTTCGTCCGCAGAGGACCGAGGGACGAATGGAGACCAAAAACAGCGCGCGCGGCAGCGAACAGGGTGGTGAGGGCACGGTCACCAATGTCGAATACTAGCCGCCTTCAAGTCGGCGGCAACTCGATGGCTGCCGATGAAGCCGTTCAGGGGCCCGTCGAAATCCCGCAGATTGGCGAGTTCTCCTTCCATGTTTCCCACCGCGAGATCAGCGTCGCGAATGAGTTGCAGCGCCGCCTGCACGGCATCGTCCGCCAACTGGGAGGCTGGACGCCGCATCATCAGGTCGCCGACGCTGGCGAGCTCGAAATTCCCCGGAATCGTCATAGCCATGTCCCGTGGATTGAGCGGTGGCAACTGCGTTTGGGCTACGACAGAGAGAGAACACACGATCAGTCCCGCCAGCAGGCCGAGTCGTAACACGGCTGGGCGTAGAATCCGGGTAACACAAACTACCAGCATGATTCCTCCTCTGGTGCGGCCGGCCGACGCCCTTCAGATGCCGCAAGTGCAACTCCAGATAGACACTGCAGACCTGCGCAACCCGCGGCAGACGTCACCACTGCGCTGATCGAGCAAGGACCCGGTCCCTGCCCCGGGCACGCGGAGCTACCCGCTGAGGTGCTCCCGGAAGAAGCCGACGGTGTGGTTCCAGGCCTGCGCGGCGGCCGCCTCGTTGTAGCGCGGCGTCGAGTTGTTGTGGAAACCGTGCAGCGTGCCCTCGAACATGCGCATCTCGTAGGTCGCGCCGTTCGCCTGCAGCGCCGCCTCGTAGGCGGGCCACATCGCGTTGATGCGCCGATCGGTGCCCGCATAGATGATCAGCATGGCGGCTTCGATCTGCGGCACATCCTCGGTCGCGGCGGCGGCGCCGTAGAACGGCACGCCGGCATCGAGGTCCGCACCCAGCGCGACGGCGAGGCGATTGGTCATGCCGCCGCCCCAGCAGAACCCCGTGGCGCCGAGCCGCCCGTTGGACAACGCATGGGCCTTGAGATACCGGGCGCTGTTGATCATGTCCTGGTCCAGTTGCTCCGGCTCGAGGCTCCGCTGCAGGACGCGGCCGTCATCGTCGTTGCCGGGATAACCGCCGACCGGAGACAAACCGTCCGGGGCCAGCGCCAGGAACCCGGCCACGCCCGCGCGCCGGGCGACATCCTCGATGTGCGGATTCAGCCCGCGGTTCTCGTGCATGACCAACACCGACGGAAACGGTCCCTCGCCGGCAGGTTGCACGAGATACCCGCGCATCGTCCCCGACGTACCGCCGGGCGAGGGGTACTCGACGTAGGCGCCCTTCATCCGCGAATCGGTGAAGGAGATCTGCTGCGCCTCGGCATAGCGGGGCATCAGGGCCTGCGCCATCCAGAGCGCGGACACGCCGCCGATCGTCATGGCCGCCGCACGGCTGAGAAACTCGCGCCGGTCGATGTGGCCGTGGCAATACTCGTCGTAGAGATCGAACACCCGCGGGTCGATTTTCTGTGGGTCTGTCATCGGTTGCGCTCCTCTCGATGGGCACACCACCCGGCATGCCGTACCGCACCCCGGTTCCGGGCACCCCGGCTCGAGGCGCCTCGATACACGTCTTGTTGACCGGCTCGAAGATTCCGGGCGCTTTGCGCGCCGGCCCGGCCATTCCCCCTGTGTCAGGCTACCGGAATTCTACCCAATCACTAACGGAGCGTGGTCAGTTTTCTCATCGTGTCCGCGACTGTCCCGTGTGGGCGCCCGTCTACGGTCGCGGCAATCGGGCAACCACAAGGGTTGCCCCTACCAGCCCGTGGCAAAAGCCCCGCTGCATTCGACCGGCCATGCATCCGGTCTGAACTGCGTTGTTCCTCGGTCGCATATGCCCAATATGCTCCCTCGTCACGCCTTGTCAGACCGGCGCCTGGCCGGTCTCGGTGCGACGCGGGGTTTCACCACGGACTGCTACGGTGCCACGCAGGGCTCTTGCCGCGGGCCGCTAGAACCGGTAGCGGGCCACCGCGGCTTCGTCCCAGTCCATGCCGAGCCCCGGACCGCGCGCAGTGACGTGGCCGTCTGCAACCCGCGGCGGGTCGGCGAGCACGGCGCCGGCGAGGTCCAGGAATTCGAGATAGTGCGCAAGGGGCGTCACCGGCAGGACGTGGGCGCTGGCCTCGATGAACAGGTGGCTGGACACCGGCACGGCCGCCGCCTCGGCCTGGCCCATGGCGCGCAGCCAGCCGGTCACCCCGCCGATCTTCATCAGGTCCGGCATGCAGACATCGCACGCTTCGGCGGCCAGGGCATGGGCCATGTCGTGACCGAACCACCAGTTCTCACCGGTCTGAATCGGCACCCGAGAGGCCTCGCGGACGCGGGCATGTCCAGCCAGATCTTCGGCGGGCACCGGCTCTTCGACCCACGCGAGGTCGAAGCGGGCCAGCGCGTCGATGCGGCGCAGCGCCTCGGGCGCGGTCAGCGACTGGTTGTAATCGACCATCAACCGCACGTCCGGGCCGATCACCGCGCGTACGCCGGCGACGTTTTCCAGGTCCCAGGCCAGATCCCCGACCCCGATCTTGATCTTGATCGCCCGGAAGCCCTGTTCGACGCTGTCTTCCAACGCCGTGGCGTCCTTGACCGGATCGACCACGCCGAAGCTGTCGTAGGCAGGCACCGGCGCCGCCTGCCCGCCGAGCAGTTCGACCACCGGCCGATTCTGAGCGCGGCCCTGCATGTCCCACAGCGCCATGTCGAGCCCGGCCAGCGCCATACCGACCAGACCCTGGCGTCCCATCAGGCGGAAGCGCGCGGCCAGCTCGTCGTACATCGCAGCCGGAGATGCCGGGCGGCCCCGCACGACCGCGTCCAGGTCGTCGAGCAAGACCTGCAAGGCCCGCAACGTGAGGGTGGTGTAGCCGAAGATGTAGGCGCGGCCCGCCGGACCCTCCTCCGATGCGAGGTCGATCAGCAGCAGGGGCGACACCGGGATCTCCCCGGACGCCGTCCGCAGCGGCCGGGCCAGCGGCGCCGCGACGGCCCTCGCCGTCAGCGCGCGGATGGTCAACGCAGAGTCGAACATGGCAGTCTCCATGACAGACATCGGGAGTAATTCGCAGCCGCGCCGCTCAGAGCGAACCTCGCCGCACCACCCACTCCATGGGCTGGCTCGTGACGGCCGAGATAGCGTCGAAGTCTGCGTCGTAGTGGAGTACCGTCATGCCCGCCGCCTCGGCCGCGGCCGCAATGATCAGGTCCGGTATCGGCAGGCGGTGCCGCCCTCGGCCGGCGAGCATTCCCTGGACATCGATCGCCCGCCGGAAGATCGCCTCCGTCAATGCGACGCGCCGATACGCGAGTTCCCTCCTGGCACGAGTGCGCGCGTGCTCGTCCTGATTGCGGGTTGAGTAGAGCACCTCAAGATCGATGATCGCGCACATCGCTGCCTCACCCGCTTCGATGATGGGCCCGACTCGCGCCTGGACGCGCAAATGCTGCATGCGGGCCAGCGCACTCTTGTCAATCAGGTACGGTGGACCGGTCAGGAACGCCACGCTTTCGTCATGATGTTCTCGTTTGGCGAGGTCGAGCCCGTCCATGTCCTCGAGCGCCCGGATTTCCTGACGTCGCGCTTCTCCGCGCACGACTTCACGCAACGCACCGTCGATCGTTTCCTTGATCGACGACGTCCCGAGCAGATGCCGTACCTGATCGATGAGGTGATCGTCGATATCGACGCTGGTCTTTCTCATATGTGATCGTCCCCTGACACGGTGGCTCCATGATATCGCACACGCGGACATTCGATATCAATGCCATGGCCGCGCGAATCAGAAGCAACCGCGAGGATACGCACGCAATGAGGCCGACCCGCGAGATCGGCCAGTCTGGGATCGCTCTATCCGCCACCGGCCGGCGAACGAACTGCGCGGGGTCGCCGCGCACAGAGATGAGAATGCGGAGGGATGCCGCATAATGGGCGTCTGTTCGCCGGATTTGCGTGGAGTGACGACAAATGTGGAGCAAACCTGGCCGCTGGCCGACAATGAAAGCACGAATCACGACTTCCACCGTTTCAATCGCGGGTCTGGCCATCGCCTGCGCAGCACTGGCGGCGCCGGCGATGGGACAGTCCGCCTCGACGGCGCCGCGCACGGCGTACGGCGACCGGATATCCAGGGGCTGTTCACGTTTCGCACCCTGACTCCGCTGCAGCGACCGGTCATCGATGCCGGCGCGTCGGCGCTGCTGGCGGGCAGGGACGCGCTCACCGCGGAGCAGGCGGCCGAGTACGAAGCCTCGCGGCGCCGTGAACTCAATCGCGACACACAGAATCTCGAGGTCCACGCACCGGGTGTGCGCTACCAATCCCGCGCCGAAGGCGGTGTCGGTGGATACAACGAGTTCTGGTACGAACGCGGCGTCGAGCTCACCCGCGACAAGCGCACGTCGCTGATCGTGGACCCCCCGGACGGCCGGGTGCCCTACCGCGAGGCGTATCAGGCCGCAGCGCGGGTTCGAGGGGCGAATATCGGCACCGGCTTCGCCGACTCCTACACCGATCGCAGCCTACTCCGACGTGCTGCGTGGGATTCAACGCCGTTCCGCCGATGGTGTCCAGCGCCTACAACAACAACGTCCTGATACTGCAGACGCCGGACCATGTCGTGATCGTGAACGAGATGGTGCACAACGCACGCATCATCCCGCTCGACGGCCGTCCCCACGGCCGCCTCAGGCAATACTCCGGCGATTCCCGCGGGCACTGGGACGGTGACACGCTGGTGGTCGAAACGACGCACTTCCTGCGCGAGACCAGCCTCGGCGGGTCGAGTCGGGACACCTCCCTGGTCGAGCGCTTTCGACGCGTGGACCCCGAAACCGTGATGTACGAGTTCACGGTCGAGGATCCGCGCGGCTATACCCGCCCCTGGACCGCGAGCATGCCGCTGCGCCGCACCGACGGGCCGCTGTTCGAATATGCCTGCCATGAGGGCAACATCGGCCTCGCGGGCATTCTCGCCGGCGCCCGGCGCCTGAACATTCAGCGGGTGCCGCCCGCCGCCGATCCGCAGCAATGAGCGCCTCTGCCCGCGTTGTGCCGACCGGCAGTACCATCGAATCAGCATGAAGGGTCGCGGGTATCTGGTGCGCCAGGGCGGTCTCGCCGTCCTGTCCGTCGGGGTCCTGTGGCTGGTGTGGTCGCTGCTACCCGGTCTGGCGGCGCGTTGGGTCTTCGCGGCGCTCGAGACCAATTGGCGCGTCGTCGGCAGCGCGGGCCACGTCGAACTCAACCTCCTTACGCTCGAAGCACGGGTCGAAGACCTGACGCTGGCGGTCGCCGGCGCCGAGGAGTCCCCCTTCCTGGTCCTTGAACGCGCCACTGTCGATCTGGCCTGGTCGGCGGTGTTCGGAGCACCCGCTGTCGAACTGATCGCGTTGATGCACCGGCGCTCTCGTTGCGGACGTTCGCCGACGGTACGGGTACGTCGAACCTGCCTGTTCCGCCAGGCGGGCGACCGGCGGCGCGACGCGGCAGGTGCGCCGTGGCGGCTTGGCGTTGTCCGCCTGGCTCGCCTGTCGATGTCCTGGGTGGATGAGGCCCGTCGTCTCAGCGTCACGATCGACCCGGCCGATCTGCGGTTGCACCCGACGGGAGACGAAGGGGCCGCCAACGCCGGTGTGCTCACGCTGTCGAGCGCGACACGCGTCAACTGGGGCGAGCACGAGACAACCCTCGCCCCGCTGCAGGCGCGGCTGGCGCTCGACGCCACCCGGCTCGTCGTCGAGGATGTCGTGATCGAGGCGCCCGAGGCGCAGCTCGTGCTCGCTGGCGAGATCGCGCTCGACACCCCGGAGACGGCGCTCGGGCTGCGTTTCGACTATGGTGGCAACCTCGACCTGACGCGTCTCGCCGCGTGGCTGGAGGGCGCCGGCGCGCTGACCGGGGCGGTCCGGATCGCGGGCCGGGTGGAGGGGTCGCCGGCTGACCCCACGGTCACGGCGCGGATCGAGAGCGAGCGCATCGGCTGGGGCGACCTGTCGGCCGCCGGGGTCACGGCGTCGGCCCGGTTCGCCGCGGGCCGGCGTGTCGCTGAGCGACCTCCAGGCCGCGGTAGCCGCGGGCGCGATCGTGGGCGAAGGGGCCGTGACGCTGACCGGGGACGAACCGAGCGGGGAGATCGGCGTCTCCTGGACGAACCTCGACGCCAGCCGGCTGGCCGCGTCGATCTGGCCGACCGCACCCTTGGAGATGGCGTCCAGCCTCACCGGGGAGCTGGCCGCGTCGTGGGCGACGTTCGATTCCTCGTCGTGGGTGATCCGTCTCGACAGCCGCCATCGCCCGGCGCCCGGCGCCGGCCTGCCGCTCGACGGCGCGTGGCACTTCGAAAGCGCTGACGGCGTCTGGCGAGCCGAGATCGGGGCGCTTGCCGCCGGTGCGCTCACGCTGACCGGGGAGATGACCGGCACGGAGCCGGCAGTCCTGTCCGAGATGGGGGCGATGCCGATCAGCGGCGCCTTCAACGGGCAGATGTCCGACCTGCGGCTGCTGGGAGACGACCTTGACCGGCTGGGACTGACCGGCGCGCTGCTCGCCGCGGACGTATCGGGCTCTGCGTCGCTCACGCTGGATGTCTCCGGTGTCGCCTCCGCGCCGGTCGTGACCGGCGCCCTGCAAGCGTCCGGGGGCGCCCTCGGAGCGCGCGATGGCGACGGTGCGCGCCGCGCTGTCCACCGCCGGGGACCGTTGGCAGATCGACCCGCTCGACATGCGGCTCTCCGGGGGCGACGTGCAGGGGCGGGTCGCGGTGCAGCGCGAAACCGGGGCCGTGGAGGGGCGCGTTCGGCTGCGTCTGACCGATCTCTCGCGTGTCGATGCACCCTTGCTGGACGGCTGGCGCCCTGCCGGTTCGGTCGAGGTCGATGGGGTGCTCGCTGGTCAGTGGCCGGCCCCGCGCCTCGATGCCGCGATCACCGCCAGCGATCTGGAGTTCGCGGGGCAGCACCTCACAGCGGTGCAGGGTCGGGTCCAGATCGGCGCGGACGATCTGGTCGTCGAACAGTTGTCCGTCAGGCAGGACGACGGCCTGCTCACAGCGACCGGACGGTTGGCGTGGAACGGCAACTACGAACTGCGTGCGACGGGCCGGGACCTGCGTCTGGCGCCGTGGCGCCGGGGAGAGGCAGATCCGCTGCCGGTGCGGGCGACGGTGGACCTGGTGGCCACCGGGGCCGGCACGATCGACGACCCGCGGGGTACCGGGACCGTGCGGCTCCGCGACCTGGCCATCCGCGACTACCCGCTCGGTCGAGTCGACTTCGACCTGACGGCCGACTCGGAGAGCTGGCGTATGCGCACCGTCGTCCCGGCGTTGGACGCCGCCACGACTACGACGGTGTACCCCGAGGAAGGGTGGCGGTACTCTCTCACGGGCGCACTCGACGGAACCAGTCTGGCCCGTCTCCGCACGCTGGCGGCTGACGGCCCGCTGGCCGCGCTGGAGGGCGACCTCAACGCGCGGTTGCGTGCCGACGGCACGCTCACGGCGCCGCGCGCTTCCACCGTCGTGGTCGACCTGGACCAGGTGGCGGGCCGCATTGGCGAGACGCCGGTACGGCTCGTCACGCCGGTGCAGATGCAATACGCCCGCGATCGGATCGTGCTGGGCGCGCTGGACCTGCGCGTCGGTGAGACCCGGCTGACCGCATCGGGGTCGCTTGCCGAGGCCCCCGGCTCGGCACTGACGGCACACCTGCAGGGCGACCTCGGCGATCTGGCTCCGCTGCTGTGGCCCGACGGCCAGCCGCCCGGGTCCGGCGCGGCGCCGCTGGCGCTGCGCCGGACCAGTGCGGGCCGACATCGGCCTTGCCGGTGCGATCGCCCGGCCTGACGTGACGGCCGAGCTGGCGCTCGATGGCGGCGTCGTCAATTTCAACGGCGCCGGCGGTGCCGACCGCGTGCCGCCGTTGATGGGGATCAGGGCGCGCGCCAGCTTCGATGCCGCCGGGGCCCGGCTCACCGAGTTCAGCGGCCGGTGGGCCGAGGCGGTGCTCAGTGCGTCGGGCACGATCCCGCTGCCGGTGTTGGCGCCCTATCTTCCGGCTGGACTCGCGCCGGAGGTCGCCGGTGACGCGGCGGCCCGGGTCAGTGCAGCAGTGGTGGGGCTGCGACCGGCGTACTTCGCCGGGTTCTTCGACGACGGCGCGCTCGACAACGTGGCGGGCGAGATCGGCCTGCAGATGGATCTGGAGGCAGACCACCTGGCGCTGGCCGAAATGCGCGGGTCGCTGGACGTGACCGCGCTCGACCTCGTCGTCGCCGGACTCCCGATCACCGAGCAGCGCCCGACCCGGGTGTCGCTGGCGGACGAGCGTCTCACCGTGAACAGCCTCGCCTGGCAGGTGGGTGATGCCGCAACCACGGTGACCCTGGGCGGCGGGGTCGATCTGGTTCCGGAGCCGACCGCGGACCTCACGCTCACCGGCGTGGCCGACCTGC